CCGAAGCCATTGCTCTTGAACTAGATCTAGTGGAAGAGCGCCGGGAAAAGGCTCTCATCCATGTGGCTGCCTACCAACAAGAGCTCTCAAGGAAATACAACAAAACGGTGCACCCCAGACCGTTCAAAGTAGGTGATTGGGTCTTGAGGAAAGTCATGGGCAATACCCTGGTGCCAGGTGAAGGCAAACTAGGGGCAAATTGGGAAGAACCCTACAAGATAACCGGTCTGGCGGGCAAAGGGGCATATCACCTGGAGGACTTGAATGATAGAGAAATACCCCGGCTATGAAATGCAGCCAACCTCAAGCTATATTATTTCTAGTTTTAGCTTTCTTTTTGTGCAAAGGAGTTTTTTTGCCTTACCCTTCATGTAATATTCATTTTTGTCAATATATAAAAGTGACTCATCTTTGCCTTAGCATTTTTAATGTTGCTTTGAGTTTTGAGATTCTCAACCGAGATAATTTACTTCGGTTGAAAGAGTTGACGTTTTGCTCAACTCGGGTATTCTCAACCGAGATGATTTACTCCGGTTGAAAGAGTTGATGTTTTGCTCAACCTGGGTATTCTCAACCGAGATGATTTACTCCAGTTGAAAGAGTTGACGTGCTCAGCTGTATCTACTACCGAGATGCCTTTGCCGGTTAGTTAAGTTAAGTAAGATGGTTAATGTTGCCGAAGTATTTTGTCCGATTGAGGTTACTCAGCTGACCGTGCCAACACTTCAAGAAATATGTACAAGAGGTGGGGCAGACAGCCCGGTTACATGTGCAGAGCAAAAAGAAAGAAAAACAAAGAAAACTACACTAGGGGGGAAAGGTTAGTGAATTCGTCGCCAGCTTCCTCCAGGTTGATCGGTGGGGCTTGATCTCGGACGCCGGTCGCAGTTTGGCCGGGTTGCTCCTGCTCTTAGCGGTCCTCTCCCCCAGCATCTGCCTCGCCTTCTCCTTCAAGTCCTTCCTCGGCCTCAGCCTGCAACGCACTGAAGACGTCGTTGGCATATGGCACGAGATAGCTCGGTAGGAAGACAGCCGATGGGGAGGCAAACACATCGGTATCAAGACCTTGACCAAGCTGAGTGCAAGCAACCTTCCAACCCGCCTGGAAGTAGATGTCCTGGGTGGCAAACACTTGCTTCTTGTAACTGTCCTTGGCCTCCTTAAAGCCGGCATTATTGGCGTCTCAGCACTCCTTCTCCCTGGACTTTTTGAGTGCCTTGAGCTCGGCTTTTATTGCATCTCTTTCTTGCTCGGCGGCGTCAATCTTGCCGAGCAAATTGGTGTTGTCAGCATTAGCAATCTGAAGAGAGGACTTTGCTCAGCCGAGCTCGGTCTGAAGGCTTTGGACTTGGCTGGCAGTGTCGTTTGCCTTTTGCCGCAGTCGATGGATGCGCTCCATGACCAAGTGTTGTTTCTGGATGGCCTGCAAGAAAAAAATTGGATCAGAGTGGAAACCGTGCAAATACTTGTGAAAATTTGAGTAGAAGTTTGAGACTCTTACCCTGGTCATGGACTTCACGGCCGACTTCACCAGCCGGGTGTCTGGGACATGGTCGCTTCCAACCACGTCGCTCGGCAGGAGAAGGGCCTTGGAGAGGTCAAAGGCAAGGAGATGTTCTTTGTCGCCCTTCACGGAGGCCGTTGCCGGGATCTCCTTACCCCGGTGCTTGAGCTGCGATCGCCATGCCGGTGTTAGGTCTATAGTGACGATGGGTTGCTCGGTAATCAGCTCTTCAACTAGCTCGGCAGAGGGATCTGCGCGAGGCCTTTTCCCAGCCCGGCGGGCTTCTTGGCTGGCTGGGGACGCCAACGCCACCACGGCGCCACTTGATTGACTGGCAGCTGGAGCGCGGGTGACGACGCTCGGTATCTCGGCGGATGTTACAGTGAGGAGGTTTTTGATACAGCTTCGTTTTGCCATCTCTTCTTCCTCGGTTAACCGGATTAGGGGCACGTCCGGTAGTGTTGGGTCTGGAGGAGGTGATGGAGCACGGAGGAAGTCTGTGACCTTACTCCGGCATGGAACAGAGTACCGGTATGTCGGGGTGTAGTCGAACAGCTCGTTGCAATCCCGGTTGCGATAACGGAGCATGGCCCTGATGGCTTCCTCGTTGGGGTAGTGGTAGTTGACTTGTAAGGCGTGGATTGCTGCAAAGGAAAGAAGAAAAATGTTAAAGTTCAGATTATGGAACAAAGGCAATTGACCGGGAAAGTTAGCACGGCTTACATGTCTCGCCGAAATTCTTGCTAATGAACCAGCCCGGTACGTCGGCTATTTCATAATTGCCGGACACCCAGAAGAAGTCGTCGTCGTGTAAGTCTTTGTCTGGGGTACCGGTCACTATTTTTTCTTTGCCCGGTCTAATCTTTAAGTAGTAGGCGAGGCCATCGCCAGTGTGCCCAAGGGTGTACTGTCGCAATATCTCGGCTAAACCTAAGTTGGTCCCTAGCCGGTTATTTAGTTCATGAATGCCGTTGATTATTCGGTAGGTGTTGGTTGACACTTGTATGGGTGCTAGCCCGGTACGGCGCAGGAATTCGGTCAGTAGAGGGTTGACCGAGAAGCAGAGGCCTCCTTCAACAATGAAAAGAACGGTCAAAAGGGCACTGGTCTAATCTGCCCCAAGGGGTTGTCTCGATCTCGGCGAGCTCTAGGTGAACATCTGCCGGGATACCGTAGTCTTCCCGGAATACGGCCAAGGTAGCCAGGGTGTCAACGAGGAAGCGGAAGCTCCCCATGTGTAGCCGGCTGGTTTAGCTTGGCTGAGGTGGTTTGGCAAAGACTGGTGTCTGGATGGCTGCTCGGTCTTTGAGAGCCTCAGTATTTGGTCAGTGGTCCCCTTGAACTTTGCAGGAAAAGGATGGCAATTGTAAGTGTGAGCGCGGTTGTGCAAAACGAGCTTGACTTTAGCTCGGTCGTAGAGGGTGCCAACCACAACGGTCGATAGGGTGAGTCAAGGAGTTCGGTCGCTCAAGCGGACCAGATTTTAGCCCGGTCTAGCGACCGAGTTCTCTGCCTACCCGGTTTCTCCTAAGTTTTGACAGACTGGTTATTTGCTCGGTCTGAATGATTTTTTGGATCAAAAGAAGACCTGGAGCCCGGTCCGCCCCAGATCTTCAGTGTTCATCAGGGAAAATGAAGAACAGCAAGAACCACGACGCGAATAAGGGCCAGGTGAGGATTTGGGATAGGGTACGTCCTAAAATCTACAGATTTATGCCCTAATATGTGCAATACCAAGTGAAATAGTAAAAAAAAGGGCTTGAAGGACTTACCAGTTGAAGACAGTGGCTCCTCCTTCAAACACAAGCTCAGAAATGGCAAGGGAAGAATGGCACGAGCTCTAGATCGTCGAAGAGAATGGAGAGGCAAGAAGAGTAGGATGAAGGAATCTGGGCATGCTTTTAAGGTGGAAAAACCGCCAAAAATTTGAATGCTAACGGACGCGTTGGTTGGCCGCTCGAGGACCAATCAACGCATGACACGTGCCCCCATTAATGGCGGCGACAGAGTTGAGGGGACAGGTTGGTCAGACGAAGCGACGACCGAGCAAGTCAGGGAATCGAGCAAGTAAAGTAGCCCGGTTGACCTCTCGCAAAACTAAAGACCGAGGAAGAGTTAACCCGGTCAGAACAGGTAATCCCAGTCAAGCTTGCGCGGACGGAATTAATGGGCAATTGAGAGGGAGATTTATGATCTGGTTTGGGCCGTGATAATGGCCAGACAGATTTGGGCCGGACGGATTTGGCCGAACAAGATTGGGCCGCAGTAACACGGCCCCATCCTTAGAGGTTTTGCTCGGATAAGGGAAGGCGTGGTTGGACCGGGCTGTATGGCTTCACGATTTAGAAGCCGGTCAAGCGGGATGTCCGGCGCCAGGCGACGCGTGGTTGTTCGACGGTCCAAGAGTTAGCTTGGCAGGAAGGCCGATGGTAAACCAGCGTGAGCTGTCTCGAGCTCGGCAATGCCAGGATGCAACCGAGCTCGGTCGAAACAGAGCGTAGCGAGCGGAGCACTCTGGCCAACTGCACAACACGGCCGTTAACAGTCGAGATGCTGCAGCCCGACTGCCGAGCTCCTAGTAGAGTGGGCTGGCAGTCGGGTTAGGTGATGTTCAGCAAGATTTGTGCTGACAGATGGGATAGCAGTACCACGTGTTGAGAGATCACTGGGAGTAGATTTGGGGCGCAGAAGGTATATAAGCATGTCTGCGCCCCCCATGCTTGAGAGATGACACAATTTGGTGAGAAAAACACAACTCAGTCCTCTCTCTCTCTCTATCCCTGTGTGTGTGTCTAACTTGATCGTCGGAGGGTTTTCCGGCCACACACCGCCGGGTAGCTCACCGCCGTTGTGCTCGCAGGTCGATCGGACAGGCAGGAGCTTGGAAGAAAGAAGTGCGGGCTTACCTGAATATTTGCTCCCTGCACTATTAACAGACTTATAAGACCAATATGAACCTTGCCCAGACACTAGTTAACAGATAAATATTGCCCAAGCAACACGCTAATGGAGCCGACACTAGCCCCCAAGCTCTTAAAAAAACCAACCTAAGGGAATATATAATCATAGAAACTTCAAGGAGAGAAACATTTGAAGAAAAGCAACAAACGAAGCATCTATAAGCTTAAACGTTGAGTTTAACAAGAGGTTTCTACAGCAATCATGGAGAAGTAATCGAACATAAACATATTGCCTAAAAAATGGAAACAGTCAACAGATCCACAACTCATAAGAAATGGACAAAAGCAATTGTCCCAATGGTAAGGATGAAAAAAGATGATATGGCTACCACGTAGGGAAGTGACACAACCATATTTGAAGCCAAAGAGCAACAGTTAAATTATAGCAAGTCATAGTAATTAAATATTGAAGGAGTATAGCTAAAACTGCAGGATCATTCTAGCAAAATAAATCTTAATAAACCAAATTGATACAAATCATCAAACTGTGACAATCTCCAAAATCAACATATAAAACTTTAAATTCACAAAGGTACCTCACAAATCTCATTGCCTCGCTGAAACTCTTCCATCATCACACGCAATGTGCTTGTCGACACATTGTAACTAGAGTTCATGCAGGGATGTGCAGGAGTTATGATTGGCATCAGGTGCTGCCTATCCCTGAAATTTCTCCTGGGATCCCAAACAGGAAGTCCCAGAGAACCATCCTGAATAGGACATAACATGACAGGATTTGGCCACCGCCAAAGGTTATAGACCTTGAAGAACCTTGAGACCAACATATTAGGTAGTGCATTTGGGTAAAGTTGGCATATACGAGCAACAAGTAACGCCCAATTGATACCACCAAGAAACCCCAAAACCTAATTGTGACAGAGAATCACACAGCATATGTAGTCAGAAATGAGACACAGCAGCAAGAACAAAGAAACATTAAGAATGAAAGAGCATCCTCACATTTGAATAAACCCCACGTCGCTTTGCCCAGAGTCTCATACATCTCAGTGTAGTACGAAAGCTCTGACCATGACAAAAATAAACACAATCAGCAACACATACAAAAAGTTAAATTTATGAACAAAAATATTCAATCACAACCTGAATATTTGGGACCAAACGCAAAATTTGATCAGTCACTCTGCATCCATTGAGACTACGAACTGTCTGCTCATCTACATTCTGCAGTATTGAATCTTGTGAAATATCCAAGTCCTGCAACAGACAAACATATTTAGAGATGCCCCATACACCCTTGAAAGCTTTGACAACAGTCAGATTTCACTAGCCACATCAGGCATAGACCAAACCCAGCCCTACAGCTAACCCTATAGGCTACAACAATCCGAGTTTTTCACTGAACCTACCAAATCCTTCCTGGACACATTTCCTCCCAACTTCCACAGTCGGAGCAGACTTTTGACACCACATAATAAACTAAATCATAAATGGATTAATTTCTCATTATGCATAACTCCAATGATTAACAGCACACACTACCACTAGCTCTCAAAAAATCTCTTTGAAAAGCATCGATTGGTTTTAATTTTAAGACCTAAATATTAGGAAATAAAAATGCAACAGCTGACACAGATTTATGAGCAGCAATTTTCATTTATATCTAGTCTTTCATCAAAATGTTTAATGAAAATGATTTTCACTTGAAAGCAATGTAGATTTAAAATTTTTACATCTTTGCACCATCATACAGGAAGAGTTATATATGATGTGAATTTACCTCTACACAAGTAACAGTATCAGCGGCATTTTCAAAAGAAACCGAGGTCACTAAAAAAGATGAACAGTTAAAACCATGGCATTTTGTTGTCTTCCTTGTACGTTTGTTATACCACATTCAGAAAGTGAATACACGGTTGCACAAAAAGACGAATACTTACTTCAGGAATAGCCCAAAGTGCTACATTTGCATAAAGAAGATCTATAGACACCTCATTGAATTTGAACTGCAATACTGGAACATAAGCATCAGGGACTGGATGCAATTCTTGTATTTCAGGCATCTCAGCCAGCATTCTGTACAGTTCACCAAAAAAATCTTCCTGCATTGAGTTACAGATGAAACTTAAGACTCATCAATCTCCACTTGAGGAAACCTAAATACAAGTACAAATTGCTGCTTATGAATGAAAAAGTTCTCATCATACATCTCGAGTGGCATGTCTTGGTCCAACACATAAAGTGTCTATATCCGCACCGGGACCATGTACCTGTTTGACAGCCATAAAAGAAAGAAACTCATTTCAGAAAATTGCATACAATAACATACAGGAATAATAATGGATTTACAATCTGAAAGACCAGCTCTAAGCAGTCTCTTATTATAAGCTATCCCTGCAAAACTTGTAATCTCACATCACAATAAAATCATTAATATGCAGTTTTCTGAAATCTTTGGGAGAAATTGGCCTTGTTTGGTTTGTGTTTCACAAAAAATTTTGGGAAAAATTCTCTACAAATAAGTTTTCAAAAGTAATCAAACCAAACAAATTTTTCCAAATTTATTTTCCAAAACTTGTTTGGTTTACAAGTTTTCCAAACAAATCTCTCTCTCATACGCATCAAATCAATCACTTTTTCCAAAACTCTCTCTCAAAATAATTTTTCAAAACATCTTTTAAAAAAAAAATCAAACCAAACAAATTTTCGTACTTTTTATCTCAAAACATATTTCTCAAATACAAACCAAACAAACCCATTGATTCTCCTCTATAAAGCATGGATATGGATATGGATATGGACACGGACACGGACACGGACACAATGGGGGTGTTTGTTTCAGCTTTTCAGAGCTAACTTATGACTTTTAGCTTTGAAAAAGTTATTTTGGACTGTTTGGTTAAACTTATTTCAAACAGCTTCTGATTCTAACAGCTTATTTTAATTCAAAAAAGTTGATTCTGAGAAGTCGCTTACCCCTTGCTTCTGATTATCAGTTTCTGCTGTGGACATGTTAATTTATGGTTATACTCCTAAATCGTTTTATTTTTTATTTTTTTAAAAATAGAAAAAGACCCAAATGGACTATAGATTATTATTATTATTTTTTATGAGAAATGTAGACAAACAAAAAATAAAAATTAATTGAAGAAGCTATTTCACAGCTTATTTACCAAACACTACTCAGCAACTTAAATCTATAATCCAACAGTTACACCAATCAGATTAACAACTTCTGATTAAAGTCATAATCTATAATCTGTTAAACTATAATCTATAAGCTGTTTTAACAGCTACACCAAACGGGGCCAATATGCTGTTGACAAATTATGCCACAGTATTTTGCAGGTTATATGGACACCAAATGATTGATCCACAGTATTGTGCAGGTTATTGCACTCCAACATGTAGCACTGAATATTAGATGAGCTGAACATGAAAAATATAGAAATCATGCAAGTGCCTGCAAATACTTTAGAGCATAATAGATTTAGTTCTAGTATTACATATTTTAACTAGTTGGTGCACAATTCAAACTTAGAACTGTAAAAGAATCAAAAGTGGACAAGCAAATAAATCAAATATGTAGACAAATATTGAAAATAAAAGAAGAAATATAGATAAAATTCATACACCCAGCCGATAGGAACCAAAGGTGAAAATCTTTGCATTAGCTTCTTGGACCAGCTGCTCATTAAACCCTTTCGTACGAGTGTTGTTCTTCATCCATATCTTCACTATCTGTTCAATTTGCCACAAGTATGTATTGCAAATGAGAAAAAAGTATAATTTAACAATTACTCAGATTCAAGATGGCAAGACAATTCAACCTGGTCCAATCTCCCTAACACCTCCTCCCTCCTAATAGCTTCTTCATGACTTTCATACAATCCCGCATCTGCAAGAAACTGATTCCACAACCCATCATCAAATATTGAGAATCAAAGATCTCTAACTCCAAAATAAATTTCTTGTGTACAGCTGGTTGAATATGAATACAGGATAAGAGAGTTTCTAAAGGTTTTGGATCACAGATATTTCAATAGTAGGGAGCCACAAACCAGAAACCTTCACTTAAGTGAGATTCATCAAACTACCCAATTGGATGTATTGCGACAACACATTTTATGTTCAACAGGAGAACACCCAAACAAAATTGCCAATTCAATTGGTGTGGATATTTTCCAACCAAAAACTTGAATAATTCATTGGGAAAGGGACAGAAAGTACAAGACAGAGCTTTCTCTCCTTGAGAACACAAACATAGAACTCAGTGTCTATTTTCTTTTTTCTACATAAAAATAAATATTCTACCATACCCATGTTCAAAACTCAATTTCTACTCTGTTTCCTCATTAGCAACCAACCAAACTATACTAACTGGGACAAATAGATTTCATTCAGTAGCATTAAAATACCAACCTTTTCCAATTCGCGAGTCTTAATCACGTCAAACTCAGTAGGCTCACCAGTGAATATTGGATCTGACATTCCAAACCGCGGAGCAGTAGCATAGTTGCTCAAACCAAGGCTACCCATAAATTCCTTCTCTTTCCTTTCAAACCCTTTTCTTTTCTATTCTTTTTTTTTTTTTTTCCTTTTTTTTTTTTTTTTTTAGGATTCTATATGGATTTTTTTTCACAACTTACAGATGCATCTAATTATATCTTGCAAGTTTGCACTTTCTCTATTTCAAATCAGAAGCAAAAGAGCTACAATTAAGAACACAGCAATATATCAATGAATATAAATAAATAAAAAAGATAAAAATAAAATTTTCAATAATCCTCAACTAATAGGCAAAATTGTTCATTCATTCGGGAGAGGCCACAAGGCTACAACGAATACAATCAAACCCTAAATTGCTTAATCTCGAATTGATACAACTCCAGTAAACAATTTTTTTCCCTCTCACTTTGAAAAAAAAAACCAAAAACAAAAACCCTAATCGAAAAACACGAGACCTCGATATAAGAACAAGGATTGAAATCCTAGACAGCAGAGATAATATATCAATTAAGCCCAGCCTCGGTCTATGAATTCTGATTATTTTCTCGATACAGTGAGTCTGGTCTCTGTCTTCGAAAAAACTGGCAATCCTGGACAAACAAGGGGTTGAAGCGATTAGAATACAGATACATACATGGAGGGAGAGAGAGAGAGAGAGACTTACCGAGAGAGAGAGAGAACGATTTGAGTAAGAAACAGAAATAGGGACGACGAAGAAGTAATTTGCCGATGAGAGAGCAGATATGGGAAAGGATGGGAGGATAGAGATCGCGTTTGTTTTACAGAGGCGTCGCCTGCCTGTATATATAGGGCTCGATATTATTTACCTTGCTTTGGTTTCAGTTTCCAAAACATTTTTCAGAATTTTTTTAAAATTTTAAATAATTTTTTTATTTTTTAGACATACTTAACATAAATACACTTAAAAAATATAAAAAATATAAAAAAAATTAAAAAATTTATTAAATACCAAAAATACAAAAAAAAAATACAAGAATTAATATATTTTTGTATTTTTATATATTTATTAATTTTTTAAAATATTTTTTCATAAATTTTTTACTTTTTAAATACATTAAGTAAGGTACATCTAAAAAAGTAAAAAAAATGTTTAAATTTAAAAATTTCACTAAAAAAAAAAAACACAAAAATCAAAAAAGTCAATTTTCAAAAAACTTAATCCGAAAACTCAAACCAAACACAGTGATTATTATTATCATTATTATTATTATTTTATTAATTTATTTATTATTTTTTTTGACTATTTTAATTTGGAATTAAAAAAATTTATTTTGAAGTAAAAAGCTTAATTTGAGAGTTTTTTTTTTTTATTTTTATAAGAAAAAAAATAAAATAATTATAAATTAAATGTGATATTATTCTATTAGGGGTGGTCTGGAATGATCTAAATATAAGTGTACTTTTTGACTTTTTATGAAATATCAATTGGTTTAAAGTGATGTAGTAGAGAGGTAATTGACTTGTGCAACTCGGGCAGGTTCGGTCGGGTTGGGAATTGTCCAAGCCCAGCCCAAGTTGTTGTTGAGATCTGCCAATGCCCGATTGTAACTTGTGATTACTTGCCCAAGCCCGCTTGAGTTAAACCCGAGATTGGTCGATGTTGCCCAAATTATAAATCAATTCAATTTTTTTTTTCTCAGCTACATTATTAAATTATTAAACTTTAACTCTACTTACAATTTTTTTTATATAGAAAATCATTAATACCATCAAAACAAGTAATTTATATAATGTAAAAAATATGTCGATATAATAGTCTTTACAATTTATGAGTGAAAATAAAAATAAAAAATAGTAAGGTTTTATGCTATTTGTATATTTAATATATATTTAATATGATTTAATAATCTAAATTACTTTAATATCATGTAATAACTAATAATTTATATATATTTAATATTTTTATATATCTATATATGTATAATTCGGGTTTCGGATTACTTGGGTTATTTGATATCTTTGCCCAATCCTACCCAAATTTAATTCAGATTTTTGAATATTTACCCAAACTCGTACCGAATTTAAAAATATCTTGTCCAAGTCCTAAAAAAAATCAAACTGGATTTGAATTGCTCGGGTTAAATCCGCTCAAGTTACACCCCTAATGGCTTAAATAAAATGATATAACTTAAATAAAATAATGACTTTTTTATTTTATAACTTTTTAAGATATACAAACAAAATCTAATTAAAATAACATATTTTATCTTATAGCACTATTTTAATCCCAAGCTATGCCAAACCGATCCTACAATCAATTCGTAGGAGTCGGTCCTGCTCTTCGTCACGTTTTGGGTTCCGGGTTTGGGAGGGATCAGATTAATTATACTAATCCTACTTAAATTTTGGGGGTATTTGGCAATAAAATCTTTAATTTACTAATCCTACTTAAATTTTGGGGGTATTTGGCAATAAAATTTTTAATTTTTTTTAAGACTAAAATTCATAAAAAGATAAAAATAAGTTAAAATAATTAATAAAATAAAATATCAGATCAAATTCATAATCATTTTATTTTTTCTCTTATAAACACATCCACTTATATAAAAACTAGTGGTCACTCGTGCGATGCACAAGATTTTAGAAAGTCAATAATTAATGAAAAAATTTGCTATTTATTTATATTTCTTAATATTTTTATTTGGTTTGTGTATATAAATCTTACTTTATTTATCTTTAAAAATCGTCAATTAATTATCCATATAAATTTTAAATATGATATAATTCCAAGTATATCTTTTGTTTAAGCTTAATCTTTTCAATATAAAAACAAGTGCTTGAAAAAGGAACCATGAACACGACATTGAAAAGAAAAGAAAAAAATACAATCAATATTGTGCCATTTTCGACTCTCCTTCACGGTGCCTAAAAAATTTTGCTTTAAATTTCAAGTCACAAGTGATTTGATTTTTTTTTTTTTCAATTGTATCAACTTTACATTTGAAATGTGTACTTACATGAGTTTTTGCTTTTGTGGGAAAGAAAGTTTATGTAAATGAATATTATTATTTTATTTTTGTTGTAAATTCTATTTACGTTTTTGTTTCCTTTTCTTTTTTCTACAATCTGTATTTTTTTATTTCTTTCTTTTTTGGCTAATAATGTGTCATTTAATTGAGATTTCATTCTATCTTTGAAGTGCTACTATTAATTTGTGACTCTTTCACTTATTGACTATTTGTGTTTAATTATTTTGGGTGCAGATGTTATATTGGAAGCGAAGAGATCATCAAATTTTATTTGGATATGGATTTATGTTTTAAATTTAATCACCAATTATATTTGGTTGTTGATTGCCATGTTGAAATAACTTATGATTAAATTAATTTTCAAGATCTTATTTCTTTTGAGACTTAAACCACTCTTCTTTTTTTAAATATCTTTTTATGCAGATTCAAAGCCTGAGCAAATGCAAGCGATCTCATATTTAAAATGTTAGGTGTTTTTGAATAATTTAAATATTTCTATTCTTTATGTTTGTCCGTTCAATTTTAATGCATTTTCAAACCTATTTATGTTTAGTGAATCAACATAAAATTAAAGAAAAAAAATTATTTTATTTTAATTCATTATATTGTGTGGGATAATTAACATAATATCTCTTATTGATTGAAAAAAAATGAAAAAATAGCATTCTTTTATTTAATGTTAGTCATTTTGATTAATTATAATTTTAGTATGCTTTTGTTACTCCACTTTTGGTTGTCTTAACTACCTCTTATTATCTATTTGTTATGCGATGATTTAAGATGAAAAAGGTCAAAAATAATAAATAAACAACAAGATAAGTGTTCGCATTTATTAGATAAATGTTTGCTAATAAAATAATTGATTTGTATTTATTTTTTTAAATGTGATGTTAAAATTTTAAAATTAAATTTTCTATGATATCTTTAGCTCCTTATCTTTATCAAAAAAAATTAAATTTGAATTTAAACACTAAACCTCCAAAACACATTATCTTTAAATTAAGTTTCCATATAAATTTGAACAACCATTAATAAAATCAACATTGGAAACAAACCATCAACAGCATCCTCCTTTTTCTTTCTTTTTTTTTCCTCCTCCTCCTCTTAACGCAGTGGTGGTCATAAAAATTTATTTAAGGTATTAATATTTTATATCTCCTAAGGTATTAATATTTTATATCTCCTAACTCCAATAATTTATTTATTTTTCCTCTCCAGGGAAGATAATAATATATGTAGAGCTTTGCAAGCAATATCTGGAGGTTAATCATTTTTTTAATTGAAATCTATTTGAAGTAATAAAATTTCATGTAATTTTTTTTTCATCTTTATTCTATTGTTATTATTTAATGATAGATCTTTTCAAGCAACATGTTCAAATTCATATAAATTTACATAGGGTCTATATATAGTTTTACATAAAATCTACTTAGGTCTATCAACTTTTTCATGCAATTGCTCTAGATTTATAGATCTTCGAATGCATTTTGTGATAGTACTTGAAAAGAATTTTTATTGAATAATTCGTGCATATTACAATTATCAATCACTTCATGAAAAGTGGGAGGGGAGACTTGAAAAGTGACACGTAGGAGAGAGAATCCATAAGAATTTAGTATTAAGAGTTTGGAGAATTCTCATACTTCACTACATTTGTTTATATATATAGTATAGATTCAATATCTTCCCAAACATAAAAATTTTAACATATTAAAATAGCCAAAAACTAAAATAGCCTACTAAAATAACAACTTTACAAACTCCCACCGTGTTAGATTGTAAAATAATATGAACTTTAATCTGTTTGGCTTAAAAATTTTAAAAATATTTTTTGAATTTTTTGCATTGTGTGTTTTTATTTTTAGTAATTTTTTTTATTTTAGTCAAATTTCTATTTTGGGTTAAGCATAAAAAAATTTCAAGATTTCACATATTTTTCACTTTAAACCCTAATATTTCAATTTCGACAAATTAAATCTTTGAGTTTCATCCGTGTTTCAATATGTCCCTTCATCCATCTCCTTTTGTATAAGGTAACGAAAGGGTTTCAATTTCGATAAATTAAACTTTAGAGTTCAATCTGTGTTTCAATGTACCCCCTTTGTCCATCTCTGTCTATGTAAAGTAACGAAGGGAGTTTAAAGTGAAAAATTAATGAAATCTTTGGATTTTTTTGTGTAATTAACCATTTTGAAAAATTAAAATCACTAAAAAAAATTAATTAATTACAAAATAAACTCCAAGATTTCACGTGTTTTTTACTTTAAACTCCAGTATTTTTCACTTTAAATCTCATTAGTTACGTTACACAAAAGGATATGGACGAATGGGGCACATTGAAACACCGATGAAATTCTAATATTTAATTTATCGAAATTGAAATACTGGGGCGTAAAATGAAAAACATATGAAACCTTATAATTGAAACACCGATGAAATTCTAATATTTAATTTATCGAAATTGAAATACTGGGGCGTAAAATGAAAAACATATGAAACCTTATAATTATTATTTTTTGTAATTAACCCTTTTATTTTTTATATACAGAAAATCTAAATATACTTAAAAATAAAATATTTGTGGAGCAAATTAAAAAAAAAACAATAAATGCAAAAAAAATACAAAGTGTATTACACTTTTTATATTTTTATTGTATTTTTTTTATTTAATAAATATTTTTTTAAAAAAAACACTTTGTGTACTTTTTAAATATATGTGGATTAAGAGAACTTAAAAGGTAAAAAAAATAATTAAATATAAAAAATATTAAAATATATATATGAATTAAAAATTCATAAATTGTTTTTGAAAAAACTATTTTAGTAATTTTTTATTTTTTATGAAAAGATATATAAATATAAATAAAAATAATAATATGACAATTTATAATAAATAAATTTGACTAAAACTAAAAGTTATCAAAGGAGTAAACCAATGAGAATAAGTCTTGTGGGATTATGATTTCTTTAAAATAATGGGATTAGCATATATATTGGAGACTCCCAATAGTTTATAAATGTTTTACTATTTTCTTATTGGACTCTTAATTTTATTTAGTGTATTTGGTTTGAGTTTTTTGAAAATTGAGTTTTTTACTTTTTATATTTTTTTGTTTTTTAAAATTTTAATCATTTTTAGATACATCTTACTTAGATGTATCTGAAAAGTAAAATATTTGTGAAAAAATATTTTAAAAACTAATAAATGTACAAAAATATGAAAAATATAATGAATTTTTGTATTTTTGTTGTTTAGTGAATTTTTTAAAGATTTTTTTCATAAAAATTATATTTTTTTAAATATATTTTATGTTAGGTGTGTCTAAAAATTAAAAAAATTGCTTAAAATATTAAAAAAATTCAATAAAAATATAAAAATTACGAAAAATAAGAAAGTCGAATTTTCTAAAAAGTATTTTTGAAAAACTTAAACCAAGCAAAGTGATTAGTTTTTTTTTTTTTTTTGTCTTCCTTGCACTTGTTCATTGTTCATGATTTGGCCAAAAGTAAAAGTGATAGTGGAATAAACTTCTTATATTTTTATATTAATTTAAATTATTTTTATCATTTTTTAAAAAAAAATTAAATTAAATCTTTTTTTTTATTTTAACATAGCGATGATAATCCGCTGCTAGAACCAAATACGATAACAACAATAGTAATGCTACAGGGTCCAAGTAGATGATCGAACAAACAGTAATGCTATAGGCCCCAAAGAAATGACCAAATAAATGACCAAAAATCTAGTTGGACCGCCACCTAAGATTAATAGGCCCCACCACTAAACAATTCTCATTTTCCTCTCACGTGATAGAAAGAAAGAAGCAGAAAAGAAGAAAAACAAAAACAAAAAGGCGCCAAAACCCCCTCAACTCCTTTCAGACTTTCAGTCCATTGAAAACAGCATAATCATCACCAAAGAAAAAAAAACTATCGCTGAAGAAAATAGCCTGCGTGGAAATAAGATGTTGATCAAGTAAGTTTTTAATTTGTGGGATCTACTTTTTTTTGTATGATCTAACTTGTTAAAATTATAAATTTTAATTTATTTTTAAATTTCTAGAAAGCTTTTTTTTTTCTTCTAATTTTTGCAAGGAATTATATATTTTTAGGTTTATTATTTTTTGATTGAACATTGAATTTTTTTATTTTTTTTTACTGAGAAATTCACGTTCTAACATTGTGTTTGATTCATAGATTTGAATCAGATTTGAAAAAAGAAATTGTGTCCCACCTTTTTATTTTTCATTTTCAAATTCCTAATGATCTAGTTGATTCATAAACTTAGATAAAAAAAAAAATTTAAAAATGAAAAAGTGGGTAAAACATAAATGAAATATATTTATATTTCATCTATTTTTTTATTTTATTTTTAAAATTTTTACTCAAATCCATAAACCAAACATGCCTAAATATTTGTTAAAAGTCTTAAAAGAAAAAAAAAAAGGTTGAAATAGTGAACAATATTATTGTGTTGTGCTCTCTTTTTCAATCTTAATGAAAGTTGTGCTGCTCTGCCTTAATTTTATTTTATTTTTAAATATATGATGCTCTGTCTTAATATCAATTGATGGAATTGGGTTATATTTCTTTTTGTACTCCTCTGCTTTACCTAAATAAAATTTTTATTTTAACTTTAATATTTGTCAAAAGTCTTGGCAGATTATTTTTTGGTTTAAGAGATTTGTACTAAATAATAATGCACTATTTCTGTTCAATTTTGGTGGGTTAAATGTTTGCCAAATTTTAAAATGATGCTTATAATTCTTTGTTATATTTTAAAAGGATGGAAGACAGAGTAACAAGTGATTATGGCAACACAAAATGTAATGGGGAGAATATTGAGAATGAAATGGAGAAAGCAAGTGCAGAAGTGATTGAAGATAATATTGATAATCAAACAGATGAAATAAGAAACGCAGAAGAACATTTAGAAGATCCTAAGCCGGGGATGGTATTTGACTTTGTAGATGAGGTTATGGAATTCTACACAAGATATGCAAAAGAAAAAGGTTTTGCCGTGTGCAAAAGAACTTCTAGTAAAAGAAATGATGGGGAGATGAGATATGCGACAATTACTTGAAATCGCAGTGGAAAGGAAAAGATCCGATCAAGCAATCTTGTTAAGTTGCAACTACAATTGAAGACAAGTTGCAAGGCAAGGGTCACGGCAAATCTATGCACTAGGAGAATGAAATGGAGAAAGCAAGTGCAGAAGTGATTGAAGATAATATTGATAATCAAATAGATGAAATAAGAAACGCAGAAGAACATTTAGAAGATCCTAAGCCAAGGATGGTATTTGACTTTGTAGATGAGGTTATGGAATTCTACACAAGATATGCAAAAGAAAAAGGTTTTGCCGTGTGCAAAAGAACTTCTAGTAAAAGAAATGATGGGGAGATGAGATATGCGACAATTACTTGAAATCGCAGTGGAAAGCAAAAGATCCGATCAAGCAATCTTGTTAAGTTGCAACTACAATTGAAGACAAGTTGCAAGGCAAGGGTCACGGCAAATCTATGCACTAGTGGAAAATGGAGGTTGAATTTCATTAATCTTGACTATAACCATGGACTAAGTCCAAGGAAAACTCGATTCTTCAAATGCAATCGGATACTTCAATCACATGTCAAACGAAGGCTTGAATTGAATGATATAGCTGGCATCAAAATGAATCAAAATTTTAATTCATTTGTAGTTGAGGGAGATGGACATAAGAAGCTAACATTTTTTGAGAAATATGCGAGAAACTATCTTAATAGAATAAGGTGTTTACAGCTCAAGAAAGGAGATGCTATTGCAATGCAAAACTACTTTCTGAAAATGCAATCCGACAATTCTAACTTCTCTTCCATGATTGATTTGAATGAAGAAGGCCGATTGAGGAATGTATTTTGGGCAGATGCGAGGAGTAGAGCGGCTTGGCGTGAGTTTGGTGATGTAGTAACATTTGATACAACATATTTGGTTAATAAATATGACATGCCATTTGCTCTTTTTGTTGGAGTGAACCACCATGGACAATCGATATTGCTAGGATGTGGGTTAATCTCAAGTGAAGACACAGAGTCATTTACATGGCTATTTCAATCTTGGCTCACATGCATGTTTAAAAGCCTTCCGAGTGCAATAATCACAGATCAAGACAAAGCTATGCAAAAGGCTATTGCGAAGGTTTTTCCTAATGCACAACACAGGTGGTGCTTGTGGCACATCATGAAAAAGGTGCCCGAAAAATTGAGAAAGTACAAAGAATATGAACCAATCAAATTTGAAATGCAAAATGTTGTTTATAATTCATTGACCAAAGAAGAATTTGAAAAAAGATGGGATAGGTTCATTGAGATGTTTGAACTTCAAAATAATGAGTGGTTGCTTGGTTGTATGAAGAGAGACATCGTCGGGTGCCAGCTTTTGTCAAAGATATATTTTGGACAAGAATGTTAACAACTCAGCGTAGTGAAAGCATGCATGCCTTTTTTGATGGCTATATCAATTCGAAAACCACTTTGAAACAGTTTGTTGAACAGTATGAGAATGCATTGGCAAAAAAGGTAGAAAATGAAAATCTTGAGGAATTCAATTCTTTTAGCTCATGCATCCCATGTATAAGTCATTATGAGATAGAGAAGCAATTTCAAAGTGCTTACATAAGAGAAAAATTCAAAGAGTCCCAGCAAGAGATATTAGGAAAGATTTATTGTGATTTGACTACATGTAAAGAAGATGGTGGCATTTCAGAATATACAATTGATGAATATGTCAAAGTTGGAGAGAGCCATCAGCGTGCAACTTTCATTGTTGTTTTTAAGGATGATACAAAAGAAGTTAATTGCAATTGTCGATTATTTGAATTTAGGGGAATATTGTGCAAGCATCAAATCACAATCTTCATGAATAGAAAGATTGACCAAGTACTGGAGAAGTACATCTTGAGGAGATGGGGATAAAAATATTAAAAGGAGCCACATGAAAATTCGGATTAGTTATGCCAATTGTTCTACCAAACCTGAAGCACATCGATTTAATAAATTTGCAATGCCTTTTATGAGGTTGCCGATTCAGGGGCTGAAACTAACGATAAGTGTGATAAGATGATTGAACGGATACAACAATTGAAATGGGAGTTCACAGAAGTTGGAGATATTTATGGTAGCAATAAGCCAAGATCTACAAGTATTCATAATGGTTTTCCCTCATGTGGTGATGGTATAATAATTCCAAAAGAGAGTAGAGCCACTCTTGATCCATTGGCTCTTCGTCAAAAGGGCGACCTCCATTGAAAAGAAAGCAATCCATCGTTGAAAAAGTTGTTAAGAAAAAGAAGCAAAGAAATAAGAAGCAAAAGACCACCACTTGTAATGAGGGAAATGTAGTGAAGATAATCAATATCATACATTTTTTTTACTTCTTTTATTGATTATTTTTTTGTTACTAACTTTTTATTTTTAATGCTTAAATAGGACTTTGAAGAGACTGAAAATGTTCATGTTACAACCTCTATTACGGGTTTTGGTGTGACTAGAACACAAGAGGGTTTTACCTAAGATGTAAGACATTTATTTATTTTAAATACAATGATGTCAATAGATTAAAGTATAATGGATGCAATATTTTTATCAATGTAGGAGACTGAAATGCAACGATCACAATATATTGGTGGAGAAAGTTATGCCTTTAATAGGGGATCATTAATGTAGCCGAACATGTCTGTCTATCCAAATTTTTTTGGGATACATTCATATTATGATCATCCAAATATGCTATTAGGTGGAAGATATCCATTTCAATCAAGTACAGGAGGACAAGGCTTTGACACGAACTCAATTTTCTTCAATGGTAGTGAATCCCAGGTACATAACATGCTCTCCATTTTATTTTATTTATTTTTATATAGATTATTAGGTACAATTTCTTAAAATATGCATCTTATAATTTCTATTATTTTTATTGTAGAGTAATATTCATCCATCTCAGAAAGCATGTTATGATTTAGCTCCTACTTCCATGCTGTCACCAGAAGAAGATAAAGTTGAAGAGGGACCAAAGATTTGAAGTCAAAATTGAATGATGAAGAATGACCAAAGATTTGAAGCATTTTATGATTTTGTATGGATGCTTCTTTGTGTTGCTACAATTTTTTTGAATGGATATGATATATGATTAATGTACATGGTGGAAATACTTTTCCAGCTTTTGTTTTTAATTTGACTCTTGGAACAATCACATTTGGAATCTTAAATGAAGCTTCAGAATTTGACAAATTGTAATAGTCTTAATTCATAATCTAAAATAGATTTTTGATCATTTGATCATCATTAATTTGGTGAGTGTTATTGCAAAAATTTCTTCAAGTTTTAGGATTGTTTAACCATAAATGTTGAACTTTTTTTCAATGTTAAAATATAAAATTTTGCAATTTTTCTACAATGCTCAACTTTTCAATCAACCACCATCAACCACAAATAATAAACCAACTAGCAATACAGACAAATTAACCACAAAAATAACACCAAAATTACACAACTTCATTACAAAAAGATACATAATCATTTGATCTTGTTTTACATTCATAAGTTCATAGACACTACTATTGATTACATACATTTGTGTACATATTAAAGATTAAAAAAATAATATAAAATAAATTGTGCACACTTTCATATAATGCCAAGTAATATTCAAAAAATATTTGGTTCATCTCCTAGAGTGAAGTCTCTAAACCATCATTCTTACTTCATTCATCATCTTTAGCACCTACTAGACCAACACCTCTATTAGAAACACCCAAATTAAAATGTCAAAAAATTGCATCTTGCATTAGCACATGTCAAGTACAATCTATCAAGCCTTTCTGCAAAATTCGATATTTGAATTTGTGCTCGCCACTCTCATTTTTCATTGTCTATTCCGAAACTTTAAGGCATCGACATTGTTTGATCTTATGCTACAGCATGGAATTTTTTTCCTGTTATCAAAAAAAAAATAAAATCAATTGACATGCCATTTAATAAACAAAGTTACAATTTCTCAAAGGACTTTCAACAAACACTTTGAAGGTGCCACTAAATAAACAAAGCTACCATTTTTCAGTTGATTTTCAACAAACAACTAGAATGCCTCAAAATAGGAAGAGAGAGGGAAGCCCCTCCCCCCCCTCCCCCCCAAAAAAAAGGCACAAATCAAACAAGATCCACAAATATTCAACTAGAAATGAGAGGTTGAACTCTAAAAATAAAAAATCCTTAAATAAATTCTTACAAAATGATGGAAATGAGGATGTATAGTTGAAATTAATAGTTGAGATGTTGATTTTTGTTGCTCTGTAAAAATAAAATAATAAAAAAAATTGATTTAGAAGCTCCTGGCATCTTCACAGAGAACAAAAAACTAGCTGCACTGAGGTTGAAAAAAAGCTAGTTGCAAATTATAGTGATTTATAATTTTAACAAGTTAGATCATACAAAAAAAAAAGTAGATCCCACAAATTAAAAACTTACTTGATCAACTTCTTCTTTCGACGCAGGCTATTTTCTTCGGCGATGATTTTTTTTTTCCCTTCGGTGATGATTATGCTTTTTTCAATGAACTGAAAGTCTGAAAAGGGTTGAAGGGTTTTGGCACCTTTTTGTTTGTTTGTTTGTTTGTTTTTTTCCTTTTCTGCTTCTTTCTTTCTACCACGTGAGAGGAAAATGAGAATTGTTTAGTGGTGGGGCCCACTAATCTTAGGTGGAAGTCCAACTAGATTTTTGGTCATTTATTTGGTCATCTCTTTGGGGCCTGTAACATTACTGTTGAACAAATGACCAAAAATTTAGCTGGCTTGCCACCCAAGGTTAGTGAGTCCCACCACTAAACAACTCTCCTTCTCTCCCCAGACAATAGCACGTGATTTGTAAAAAGAATTAAAAATCACTTTTTGTAAAGCACAGGAGGTTGTTGAGTCCATTGAAAGCTGAATAGTCATCATGGAAGAATAGAAAAAAAAATCTTCATCGAAGAAAAGTAAACTGTGTGGAAAGGAGTGGGTTGATCAAGTAAAATTTTAATTTATGAGATCTAATTTTTTGTATGATTTAATTTTAATTTATTTTTAAATTTTTGGAAAGCTTTTTTTTTTCTTTTAATTTTTGCAAGGAATTATATATTTTGAGGTTTATTATTTTTTGATTAAGTGAACAATTATTTATTTATTTATTTTTTATTGAGAAATTCATACTCTAACATTGTGTGTTTGGTTCAAATTTTTTTTTACATAGCAACAAAAATCAACATCTCAACTATCAATTTCAATTATACATCCGCATTTCCATCCTTTTGTAAGAATTTATTTTAGGATTTTTTATTTTATTTTTAGAGTTCATCCTCTCATTTGTAGTTGAATATTTGTGGATCTTGTTTGATTTGTGCCTTTTTTTTCTTCTTCCTTTTTTGAGGCATTCTAGTTGTTTGTTGAAAATCAAATGGAAAATAGTAGCTTTGTTTATTTAGTGGCACCTTTAAAGTGTTTGTTGAAAGTCCTCTAAGAAATAGTAACCTTGTTTATTAAATGGCATGTCAATTGATTTTTTTTTCCCCCTCTGATAACAGGAAAAAATTCCATCATGTGGCATAAGATCAAACAATGTTGGTGCCTTAAAGTTTCATAATAGACAATGACAAATGCGGGTGACGAGCACTAATTCAAATATCGGATTTTGCAGAAAGTCTTGATAGATTGTACTTGAAATGTGCTAGTGCAAGATGCAATTTTTTGACATTTTAATTTGGGTGTTTCTACTAGAGGTGTTGGTCTAATAGATGCTAAAGATGATGAATGAAGTAAGAATGATGGTTCAGAGACTTCACTCTAGGATATGAACCAAATATTTTTTTGAATATTGCTTGGCATTATATGAAAGTGTACACAATTTTTTTTTATTATTTTTTTAATCTTTAAAATGTACACAAATGTATGTAATCAGTAGTAGTGTCTATCAACTTACGAATGTAAAACAAGATCAAATGATTATGTATGTTTTTGTAATGAAATTGTGTAATTTTGGTGTTATTTTTGTGGTTAATTTGTCTGTGTTGCTACTTGGTTTATTATTTGTGGTTGATGGTGGTTGATTGAAAAGTTAAGCATTGTAGAAAAATTGCAAAAATTTATATTTTGACATTGAAAAAAAGTTCAACATTTATGGTTAAACAATTCTAAAACTTGAAGAAATTTCTGTAGTAACGCTCAAATAATCGACAATTGCAATTAACTTCTTTCGTATCATCCTTAAAACAATGGAAGTTGCACGTTGATAGCTTTCTCCAACCTTGACATATTCATCAATTGCATATTTTGAATAGCCACCACCTTCTTTACATATAGTTAAATCACAATAAATCTTTCCTAATATCTCTCACTGGGACTCTTTGAATTTTGCTCTCGTATATGCACTTTGAAATTGCTT